CGCGCGCATGCACACACACATATACACGAATGAATACACACTCACACATTAGTGTGCGCCCCCGGGGATATTGAGGGTGCGCACTGGTACAGAGAGCAACTGCTTGACAACCTACAGCTCCCTAATGAGTGACGACGCAGGGCTACTGAAGAAAAGTAACACTTCCCTGGTGTGAAGACCTCTTACTGAGAAGTTTAGTTCACTACTGTTCTCGAAAACCTAATCGTGTAGCCTGTAACCAAAACCCACAGAACAAGGATAAAACACGCTAAAGAGTAACTCATAATCACTAAATGTTTGCACCATTACCTGCTGTTAGGAAGGGATTACAGAGGAGTTGGCTCAAGCGAGGGCGGGCCTTGCTCCTCACAGGATCTCTGCAAACACCTGGATGCCCCTGCATGGGTTCCCCTCTCCCAGACATCACAGGGTCAGGGACTCCCTGAGCATCTGCTGGAAGAGAGCTTTAGCTAGAGCTCCATGCTGGGTACCCTTCAAGGACACCAAGTTCTGGGAGTCAAGTGGAGTGATTTTTAGGTAGAAATGACTTGCCCTCCTTTAACCAGCACGCAACAACGGAAAAAGAGGGAAACATCGAAAGCGGGAAGTAGCCCTTAAAAAAGACAATGTAACACTGCCAAATGGAAAAAGTAGTGTGCTGCTCCCTCCTAAGACACAATAGGCTGTGGAGCCTTGGTTATTCATTACAACTAGAAACGGAGTAATCTAATTCATTTTATAAGTAATTCCTCCATTGGAACTGCTCACTTTTTACAAGGTCTGTCCTCTTTTTGCAGGAGGGGGAACACCCTACACAGAGAAGGAAAGTTTACCACTATATATGCCAGAAAATTACATTTGCTCTGACATAGACTTTGATTCATTAACATTGCACATTTTTAAAAGTCTGTGTGTGGGAGATCAAAATTAAGTTGATGGTGAGAAAATATTTGAATGATAAAGAATTTGTTTCAGATCTAGGACAACTGGATGCACTGTCTTCTGACAATAATCACCAAGACTGAGTGAGATGGAAATACAGAGTTAGCGCTTCGTGTGTTTCAGAAAGAAGCCTGAAGTGGACAAGGGCAATCCTTCAGATTAAATTTGCACCCAAATTATCCAGTATGATATACAAAGTTTCATCCAGGTACTTTCAAATTGCAAAATACCAGTCCAAGAACTGCCCCCCACCCTTCATTTCATCTAGTAGCAGCTCTAAAAAGAAGCCATTGTTGAGACAAATGTGGGCTGATGAGTAAACAGTGCATGTTTTGTTGAACAAGCCTACTCCCACACCTATATATGGCACTCTGTCTCACCACAAAGTCCAATTAAAATTATTAACAAGAATTCAAACTCACTTCACCCAAAATTTCAAATAACCTTTTTCACGAGAGACTAGATCTTTAATATAGTAAACTATAAACTATTTATTCCTACACAATATCCTATTTTGGAAGACTTGCATTCATGCAATCTTTAAAATAATATAACACACTCTTAATTTGCATGCAAAACATTTTTCCAGTCAATATAAGTTCCTGGAACATAAAATCAGATTATTACAGCTCTCATTAGCAGGCTTCAGTTTTTGCTATTCGAAAGTAAACAGAAGAGAAACTTATTTCCACCTGCTAAAATGTCATGCAGGAATACAAAAACAATGCACACTCAGCTTTGACCTAAGAAACACCTTAAAATATTAAAAATTCATCAGTCAGTGCTAGTGTTGTATTCAAGGAATGCCCCTCCAGTTTGCTGCTGAGCTTGGATTTGAATAAAATGCCCAATGTTAACAAACAATACCCACGTTTGGCACTTTGTGTATTAAATTGATCAAACAGATTTTAGAAAGCACAATGCACAATTTGTACAGACCTGATTGAGTTAATATAATATCAGCAAATTTTACATCGAAATGATTCTGTTTCTTTTCTTTGTGTTTAAAACCAGCACAGATTACAAATTTTAATGATCTGAAAATGTTTGGTATACAAAATCATGCTTATTTCAGTATTAGCAAAAACACAAGAAATTTTTCAACACAAACACCCAGCTGTGTCTATTTTAAAAGCAGTTCAATGACAGCTTGCACTTATGAGCATGCAATCAGCTAATTTCGCTTTTTTTTTCTTCTGTGTTAATCAACACTTTCCTTCCTGCATATCAGAGTACAAATAGTATAGTTACTCCACATCAGTAAATGTTTACGTAACCTGTCCTTTCCCAAGAATCCGGTTACACCGAATCATTTCACGCTAGACCGACTACAAAAACGTACCGGGCCGTCCACCTCAGAGGGAGCCCTTGTGTGCCATTATAAGTGGCAATGGGAAGGGGGGCTGTGGGGGGGGAGGAAGGGAGTGAGGGAGAGGAACAGAGGAAGGAGATGGGGTGGGGAAGTGTGGGGGGAGGTGGAAGAGAGTAGGGAGGAGGAAAACCAGTAGAGGAAAAGTAGGAATACCAGGCCTTAGGAGGGAAATTGGGAAGAGGTAAAGGGAGCGGAAAGAGGAAGGCCCAGAGATCTCTTCAGCCTGGTCCGAAAAGCCCGTCCCCTCACCCGGCTCTGTAAGAAATCTGAGCTTCGAAGTCAATGTTGGGGGCCATGTCACTATCAACGTTGGGAGATGAAGCCCTTGAATTTTCCCACACGTAAATATTAATTGATTGTAAAGTAAGAAAATATGTAGAAGGAGGGGGTGATACAGAAAATATGTAGGACAGTTGAGGTTAGTCCAGCGTTCAAAGCTGTAACAGAAACCATTTTAACAATCACTACTGATTTTGTAATTGTCTATTTTTCTCTTCAGAGTTTATTTTCTCAGAATTTCCAGGTCGGGGGGGGGGCGGGAAGAGTGGAATAACTCCCTATTCACCTGAGTATGCATTGACTGCATTCTTCACAGTGGGGTTGAAATTTAACGTCACACATTGGCACCGATTTTTCTTCCTTCGTTTTCTTCAATACCACATCTGCCAGAGTTTATCATAATGAATAAGTGTTTACATTTTATTATTTACCTTATAGAGGAGAAAAAAAAGGGTGCTTTTATTTATGCTTCTCCTCCACCTCCCTCTTCTCTCGGGGCTACACCCTCCGTGAAGCGCGGGGCGCTGCGCGCCCAGTGGGGATGAAGCGGCCTTTGATCAGCGGTCTCCGCACCGAATTCCGATCCCTGGGAATTGCGGGGCCGTAGCCCTGCCCCCGGCCACGGGGTCCCTTTAAAGCCCCCGAAGCACAAGGCCCCCTCTCACTTCAGCCCTCACGGAGCCGTCCCAGTGCTGACGCCCGAGAAGCTGGGAAGGCGGGCGCACGCCCCCAGGCCCCTCGGAGCCTTCCAGCGGCACCGGGGTGGGAAAGGGCTGGCTTCCGCACGCGGCTGTTTCAGGATTAAAGCCCGCACACATTAAAAGCCTTTAAGAAAAGGAAAGGAAAAATAAAGAGGGAGTGAAAATAGGAAGTCTTTAAAAAACGGAAAGAAACAGACGCCCACCCTAATCATCCCTCCAATGTTAACAAGCAAAATGAAAACACTTCCAGGGTGATCCCTCGAGGCTACTCGCCTCCAACTTGGATTAAAAACTGAGGAGAAGCTGGAGCGGTGAAGAGAAAAGGACCCGTCACCCAGCGCGTGAGCCTAGGTCTGCGGCTAGGCAGAGGGAAAGGAAGAGACGCACGTACACAGCATGTGTTACCTGGTTTATTTCGAGACTGTTTGGCACTGTTCTCTCTCTGAGCACCCCTCACTTCGGGAGGCCCTCACAGGCGCCCACCACTGAGCCGCCCCTGCCCGCCGCCGCCTCCTCCTCCGCGGAGGCGCGGTGAGCCCCAGGCCCGGCTTCCCCGCGGAGCCCAAGCCTCGAGTCCCAAGCGCGCCGCCGCCCAGGCCACAGGAACCGAGTAAGTAACCCCCACTTTGCCCCGCGCACGCCAGGCCAAGTCCTCCTCCTAGTCCCGTCGTTTCCGACCCCGCTCACAGACCCTCCTCCCCCAAAGGTGGAGGGCAACCCTCCCACGCCAGGAATGCCTTCCCTCCCCGGCCATCCAGAGCCGGGCTGGAGTGTTACCTACAAGGGGCACAGTTTTCCTAAGGACGCGGAAAGGCCGGGCTGGCCTGCAGGGCCGACAGGGGAAAAGTAGTACCTCGCTTCTTCCACCTCCATGCCCTGCCTTTTCCTTACTTCCTCTTCCCGTACTCCCACACGTCTCTCCACCGCTACCGCCGCCCCCGCTTTTAAAAATAAAATTGGATACAAACTTTAATCAGTAAGGACAAATACTGACGCTCAAAGGAAAATAACCCAAGAGACCGTGAGAATGGAAGCGGAAATGTGAGATATCTGCCCTACGAAGGGGATTTCGCCAGAGCTGCCCCGCGGAGTGGAGGGGGCACAGGGGGCGCAGATAAGGGCCGCGGCGCAGCGTGCTCCCGCCGGCGTATCCCTACGCCGTTCCGCGAGGCCGGGGCCCACGGAGAGGGGGAGGTGAGCGCCCGAGGGGGCGGGAGCCGGCGGGCGGGGCGTGGGTGGGTGGGCCCAGGCCCTCTGATTGGTCGATGGTAGGAGAGACGCACCCGCACGCCGCCGGCTCTGATTGGCCCAGCGGTAGGAAAGGTTAAACCAAAAATTTTTTTACAGCCCTAGTGTGCGCCTGTAGCTCGGAAAATTAATTGTGGCTATAGCCGCCTCGATCGCTGTCTCCCCAGCCTCGCCGCGGCCGCTCCGGGACGCGCCCGCCCGCCGCCCGGCTCTCCCCCCCTTTGGGCTGCTGCTGCTGCTGCTGCTGTGACTGCTGCTGCGAGAGGAGGAGGAGGAGGAAGCAGCAGGGGGGGGGGAGCGGGGGGGTGGGGGGGAGACCAAGAAGTAGAGTTGGGAGCGAGGGAGCTTCACCCCCGGGGCGGTGGTGGTTTCTTTTTTTCTCTTTCTTTCTTTTTTTCTTTTCCTTTTTTCCCCTTCTAATTCCTGAGGGGTGGTTGCTGCTTTTGCTACATGACTTGCCAGCGCCGGAGCCTGCGGTCCAACTGCGCTGCTGCTGGAGCGCTCAGTGCCGCTGCCCGCGCCGCCCGCGCCCAGCTCGACACCCACTGGTCGCCGCCGCCCGCCGCGCCGCTGCCCCGCTCCTGCGCCTCCGCCGCTGTCCCTCGACGACTGGGTGATGCTGGACATGGGAGATAGGAAAGAGGTGAAAATGATCCCCAAGTCCTCGTTCAGCATCAACAGCCTGGTACCAGAAGCGGTCCAAAACGACAACCACCACGCGAGCCACGGCCACCACAACAGCCACCACCCCCAGCACCATCACCATCACCACCATCACCACCACCACCCACCACCGCCGGCTCCGCAACCGCCGCCGCCGCCGCCGCCGCCGCAGCAGCAGCCGCCGCCTCCCCAGGCACCGCAGCCCCCTCAGGCGCGGGGCGCCCCGGGCGCAGAAGACGACAAGGGCCCCCAGCAGCTGCTGCTCCCGCCGCCCCCGCCGCCGTCCTCGGCTGCCGCCCTGGACGGGGCCAAAGCGGACGGGCTGGGCGGCAAGGGAGAGCCGGGCGGCGGGTCCGGGGAGCTGGCGCCCGTCGGGCCGGACGAGAAGGAAAAGGGCTCCAGCGCTGGGGGGGAGGAAAAGAAGGGGGCGGGCGAGGGCGGCAAGGACGGGGAGGGGGGCAAGGAGGGCGAGAAGAAGAACGGCAAGTACGAGAAGCCGCCGTTCAGCTACAACGCGCTCATCATGATGGCTATCCGGCAGAGCCCGGAGAAGCGGCTCACGCTCAACGGCATCTACGAGTTCATCATGAAGAACTTCCCCTACTACCGCGAGAACAAGCAGGGCTGGCAGAACTCCATCCGCCACAACCTGTCTCTCAACAAGTGCTTCGTGAAGGTGCCGCGCCACTACGACGACCCGGGCAAGGGCAACTACTGGATGCTGGACCCGTCGAGCGACGACGTGTTCATCGGCGGCACCACGGGCAAGCTGCGGCGCCGCTCCACCACGTCGCGGGCCAAGCTGGCCTTCAAACGCGGGGCGCGCCTCACCTCCACCGGCCTCACCTTCATGGACCGTGCCGGCTCCCTCTACTGGCCCATGTCGCCCTTCCTGTCTCTGCACCACCCCCGCGCCAGCAGCACTTTGAGTTACAACGGCACCACATCGGCCTACCCCAGCCACCCCATGCCCTACAGCTCCGTGTTGACTCAGAACTCTCTGGGCAACAATCACTCCTTCTCAACGGCCAACGGCCTGAGCGTGGACCGGCTGGTCAACGGGGAGATCCCATACGCCACGCACCACCTCACCGCTGCCGCGCTCGCAGCCTCAGTGCCCTGCGGCCTGTCCGTGCCCTGCTCTGGGACCTACTCCCTCAACCCCTGCTCGGTCAACCTGCTTGCGGGCCAGACCAGTTACTTTTTCCCCCACGTCCCGCACCCGTCAATGACTTCGCAGAGCAGCACGTCCATGAGCGCCCGCGCTGCGTCCTCCTCTACGTCTCCGCAGGCTCCCTCGACCCTGCCCTGTGAGTCTTTAAGACCCTCTTTGCCAAGTTTCACGACGGGACTGTCCGGGGGACTGTCTGATTATTTCACACATCAAAATCAGGGGTCTTCTTCCAACCCTTTAATACATTAACATCCCTGGGACCAGACTGTAAGTGAACGTTTTACACACATTTGCATTGTAAATGATAATTAAAAAATAAGTCCAGGTATTTTTTATTAAGCCCCCCCCCCCATTCTGTACGTTTGTTCAGTCTTTAGGGTTGTTTATTATTCTAACAAGGTGTGGAGTGTCAGCGAGGTGCAATGTGGGGAGAATACATTGTAGAATATAAGGTTTGGAAGTCAAAATTATAGTAGAATGTGTATCTACATAGTGACTGTTTTGCCATTTCATTCAAACCTGACAAGTCTGTAAGAGCCGCCAAATTTCCATGTGTGCAGTATTATAAGTTATCATGGATCTAAATGGTGGATGCAGACCTTGAGAACAACCTAAATTATGCGGAGAGTTTTTAAATGTTAAACTGTAATTTGTATTTAAGACACATTCGTAGTAAAGGTGCCCAAGAAATTATTTTGGCCATTTATTGTTTTTGTCCTTTTCTTTTAAAAACTGTTTTTTTTTCTTTTGTTTACTTTTAGACCAAAGATTGGGATCTAGAAAATGCACTTGGTATACTAAGTATTAAAAAACAAACAAACAAAAAAGTGAAAGTTGTTTCAGTTGGCAGCACTGCCCATTCAAATGAATTGGAAGGGGACAAAATTAATGATTGCCTTCAGTTTGTGTTGTGTATATTTTGATGTATGTGGTCACTAACAGGTCACTTTTATTTTTTATAAATGTAGTGAAATGTTAATACCTATTGTACTTATAGGTAAACCTTGCAAATATGTAACCTGTGTTGCGCAAATGCCGCATAAATTTGAGTGATTGTTAATGTTGTCTTAAAATTTCTTGATTGTGATACTGTGGTCATATGCCCGTGTTTGTCACTTACAAAAATGTTTACTATGAACACACAGAAATAAAAAATAGGCTAAATTCATATATATCTTGATACTTTTGTCTCTTTTATTAAGTAGACCTAATTTCTAAAAGATCATTTAAGTTCTAGGGAATTCAAAGGCTTTTTCAGCCACGAAAATTTAAACTGCTCCTTTCTTTTGAACTAAGACTTTAAAAATGAAAATAGTATTTTTTCCATTGTGGAATTACATTTTACCAGGAGCAGACTAATTAATAAACACTAGCTTTAAACAAAATATAGGCTTTTCAGTTTATATCTTTAAGTTTCTGTAGATACACTAAAAATATACTTAATTTAATGTACATAGTTACTTATCTTGTGTTTATTTTCAAATCAGTAATATAGAATGCTTTTCATATATTTTGTTTTAGATATCTTGTTTATACCACTTGGTAAGCTATAAATAAATGTATATGGTTAGATAGAAGTGGATATAATGCACACATATGTAATATATATAAACACAGAGTCCTTCAGTTCAGGTAAAATTTGCGCTCTGAATGCTGCAAATATTTTTGTTTAAATATTTGTATTTATACTAAGTCAGCATTTATTTTGGTGGCTGTTTACCCACAATGAAGAGTTCTAATAAAGATGTGCTGAAGTTGGAATATAGATTTTGCTTAAGTGATCACCTGTTGTAATGACTTGTAGATCAATGTTTATATTTTATTTTTAAATTATAACAATTTAAAATTCTAGATGTTCAGAAGCAGTAAAATGCCTTTCTCATTTTCTTTCATACTTTACAATGTAGAGGTATTTATTTGATTCCCTTTTGGATAAGTTTGTAAAATGTAGAGATTTGTTTCTTTTGCTTACAGTCATAATTTTAACTTGCAGTATACATATGCATAAATGTATATTCACATATATATAAATCTGAAACAAAATGGAAACATTTTTGAATTGTTTCAGCAGTTCAATTGCTATGACTCCAGAAAATAATTAGAAAACCTAAGTAAAAGGTTTAGTAACTAATTGGATCCTGTGGTGAGTCCGTGGAGGACAAGTTGTTCATTTGTTACAATTGTATAGTCTGAAATGTGTTCTGCAGTAATGCAATAAGCTGGCTCCTTCTTACAATGGGCCCAATGAAAAATAATCTGTCCCCAAGATGTTATCGGCAAACACTTAGAGAGTTGCTCAGGAAGAAAAAAAAAAGCCTAGGAGAGAAGCAAGTGTGACTCACATAGATTTGAAATAAAAATACAGAACAATTAATATCGGAATAAGGAGATGGATGGGTTGTGAATGGAGAGATAGAAGTAGAGAACGAGGAGAGGAAAGGGAAAAAGATATTTTTTAAAAATCTACTACCAAAAAGAAAGAAAGAATGAGAAAAAGGGGGGAGAGAGAGAAGAGAGAGAAATCTAAGACAGATAAGGTCCAGGAATATTGAAAGAGTTGGAACCAAATATACTAAGACAGCTAGTTTATTTACCTCCTTTAAGCAGACTGGACATGATTTTATTTTCGTCATATGAGAGCAGTCATTGAAATTTAACAGTTCTTTAGAAGGAAGGATGAAAGAAAATTCCACAGAAAATTCCACAAATAAACTGTTTTAGAAGCCAAATTTATGGCTGATACTAAAAATTGTGAGAGTTTACTGAATAAGATTAGGCAAAGGAGATACCCACTAACATATTTGTGAACAAAAACAGTTCAAAGAAAAGCATGTGTTTAGACTGAAAAAGGTGATGATGTGCTGTTTGCTTTTATCTTGGATTTTATTTGTGGAATGAGAATGTACTGGCACATAAAAATATAGCCTTTTCCAAATCAAAAGTTGAAAAGAAAGTTGAACTCTTATACTGCATTAAAAGGACATAGATGTGAAAGGAAGATTTCTCCCTTGAGTATTTTTTGGCTATATTAAATAGGTATATAAAACATTATTTTTGATAAGTGTTTATTTGCATGATGGAGAAATCAAATTTCAATGGCAAATGTCATAGTTTGAGGTCAAGCTCAAACCTGGCTTATTTAAATTCATAGGAACTAAGAACAGGAGTAAAAATTCTGCTTGGAAACGTGTCCAAGTTACATATACAATGGATGTGATTAGAAGTAAAAAATAGCTTTTGTTTAATAGGCTTACTAGATACAAAGGGGGACAGAGAAAGAGAAATTTGTGAAGGCCTCCTGCAGCCCAATATGAAGATTTCGTGTACCTCAATCTGTCCTATCATCCTTCAAATTATCTTTTTCAAAAAGCATGACAGTCTAGCATGGCATTTAATAGATTTTGCATCAAATTGGTTGTAATATTGCATTCGATATTTATTGTCACCAACCTTTGCCAGTTAAAATTAGATTATGCCAGAAAAACACTTCAAAACTTTTTGAAGTGTTTCCTCTTTCATACTTATAACTTTTTTCATGAGATCAAAGTTGCTCTTTTTGAGATTTTGGAACTGAAAATGATCATAATTTATAACTTAAAATCCCAAATTATAGTTTATTTCCAGATTTAAAGAATTTTATTTGAATTTATCTAGTATAAAGTGAATACAAGTTATTAAGACATAAAACATTGCAAAAGTGATTTAGGTAGAGCAGGAAGATGTTCTTCCAAATATGTTTTTTTAACTTGATACAAAATTGGAAATCAATTGAATGTGAAGTCCAGAACCAACAAGATTTAATACAAATATCTTTATGATCATGGAAGTCTTCATGTGGTTTCTATGACTTACATAAAATTAAGGGTAGAGGAAAATAATGTAGTGTATTACTTATGTATATTTAAGTTGGACATTTTACCCAAATAGATGGATAAATTGAATATATTTAGAACTCTAAATATATGACTGGTTTCTAAAAACTGTATTGTCTACAACATTGTTGAGGAATTTGCATGAAGTAATTTTGCTTTTGAGATATTAATTTTATGAATAGCTAATGTGTCTGGTCGTGCCTGGGACTAAATGCCTATTGGAAAAATAGGCTAACAAAGGGTGAAGGTGAAGATCATTAGAGGTTTGGAGCCGCTGAGACGGGTTGCTGGGGTTGTGTAACTGTGCCTAGAGGGCGGGGTTCCTGTACATTCCTACTTCACCAGATAACCTGCCCCCAACACCACTTCAGCTTCTGCCAGACAGATGGAACTCTCCAACATGAAAACCTGCACAACCATTCCAACAAGCAGGGTAGGTGAAACTTGAATTAAAATTCTACCCTCTTTTTTTTTCCTACTTGAGGCCAGATCCTGAAGATACGGAAAGAATAGGGGTCATCTAGATTCTCCTCTCACGCAGCATACAAGCGCATCTGCATTCTAAGAGCCACCTACCTGTAAGAGTTCAAAGACATTATCTTTCACAGTACTTGATTCTCGATTTTTTTTTGGCATGCCTTTTTTTTTCTTTTAAGTTTCTCTTTTCTAATCCCAATCATTCTCCCCAGCCCCTTTTCAGGGCCTCTCCTTCCCCCAACCACCAGCAGTTAAAATAATCCACCTCTTAGTTTTCCGCCCCCAAACCGACCTTTTCCCCACTGTAGCGGCCATTCACTGGGACCTTGTCCTGAGGATGTAGGCCAAGGTAGCTCCGGGTAATATGTGATGTACTGTTATGTTTTGAGTCTATTTTCTCCCTTCCGATTTGTGTGTTTTTTTCCTCCACCCAAGACTCTGCCTGAGGTTGTCTCAAGGATGCCGAAGAAAAAGACTTGTGGTCTGGGAGCGCTCTTACTCCGACATTGGTAAGTGAAAGTGATTTTCGAAGGGGAGGAGGGGCTATGCCTGACTGCTTGTGACTGAGGCTTAAACCATGATTTTGAGATCCAGGTCTAAAGTGCTCTTCTCTTCTCTTCTCTTCTCTTCTCTTCTCTTCTCTTCTCTTCTCTTCTCTTCTCTTCTCTTCTCTTCTCTTCTCTTCTCTTCTCTTTCTTCTCTTCTCTTCTTTCTCTTCTCTCTTTTTATTTTCTTTTCCTTTTCTTTTCTATCACTTTCCTTTCCTCCCTTCCTTTTTTTTTTTTTATTATTTCCTTAGCGGGGTGTGCTATCATGGAAGTAGCTGAGAGATACATGCATTTCCCAAGTCAGCAGAAAGTCACACTGCATCCCTAAGTAAAGTGGATGTAGGCATGTCCAAGGGGACATAGAAAGAGAAATGAAGAGAAACCAGGTGAATTTATGTGGAAAGGGTTAGTGGGGGACTGAAATAGGTCCCGAAGTGCAAAATAATTTGTTTCGTGGAAATATGACTTCTGAATTTAACCGCAACTGGGAGAATATCCTAACTGGACTTTCTTAACGTTTTAAACCTGTAGATATTTGCTCGCCCAGTTGGAAACAAAGCTCTTTGCTCTAGAGCCAAGGACTTGCCTCCTGCCAAAGTTCTTTTTCTTTTTTTTTGGTGGGGGGGGCCGTGGGTAGAAGGCTCTTCCTCCCCGTTTTCACACTAACATTACCATCTCCCCCCGGGCTGGCCACCTCAGCCCTGGGCTCCACGGTCTGGGTCAGGCAGCGGGATGCCTCTGATTTGCCGAACTGCCCCAGGTAGAGTGCGGCAAGGAACCTAAGGAGCCAGGAACCGGCCTGGGTGGGAGGCTTCTTCTCTGCCTGTTCAAAGAACTAGGGAAATGAGCACCGTTCTGGGCTTGACTTTGTCCCTGCTGGGAATATCCCAGTTCCCGGCTTTGGGAATCTCAGGCAAATTAATTGATTCTTAATGCACACTTAGGGGACAGCGGGGTAAGCACAGAGCCTGGCGGTCCCGAGAGTGGCTACGAGCGCCCCAGACACCAGTTGGCTTGGCCAGAAGCGAATTTCGGGCCTTCACTGCGGTTTCCTGTTACCCTTCCCCGAATCTCCGGGGCTCCTGGGTAAAGTTGGAGAGGGGCATGATGGTGGGAATTGGTATCCGCTGGGAGCCAGCCACTTTGTTTTCTCGGGGTGTGGAATCATGCAAAGTGACTTAGACTGCTGATGCGAGGCGGTTGGCAGAGTGCAGCCGGGGAGGAGAGGTGCTCTCCGGACAAAGCCGCAGGTTCTGGACTGGGGGAAGCTGAGCGCTGCTCAGGGAGCAGCAAGGTGAGGGCGCTCTTGCCCAGGACAAACAGCTTTGCGTTCTGTAGCTCACACTGGCTGATGCCAGGAAAATTGACTCCAGAAGCCTGGCTGGCGCACTTCTCCACCTTTCTCTTTTCTTCTTATTCTCCTATGTTCTCCCCCTCCTTCTCTTTCTCTCTAAAAGTTGTTTCTTTTGTTTACCTTGTGCTGTTTCAGATCTCAGCACTTATCTGCTAGTTGATAAAACTGTTTTCTCTGTAATAGACATCTTTTTTCCTTTCGACTCCCTACTCCTCTTCCATTTAACTTTCTACCTCTTTTTCCTTTTCCGCTCAAGTCTGTGGGCAAAGATGAAGGGTTTTTACAGAAAAGAGGTACCCTTGGGGTGGAAACTCCCTTCGCACTAAGGGAAGCCCTGTGTTGGGGAGAGGGAGGCAGAGGTTTGGGTGGGCAGAGCATCCCTGCCTGTGTGGGAGATTATCAGGCGGTGGTCTTCAGACTTGGCAATACTAGGGGAAGGAAAGGACAATGCAGAACAGAGTTCATCTACTTCCGATTGTTCTTCCATCCCCCTAAGATCCAATTTCCATGCTTCAACATCATCCTTACCTGGACTTCTGTCAAATTTGAGGTAGGCAGAAATTTTGAAATTGTAATCATAAAAGGCATTTAAAGTAACAAATAACTCTCAAAATTATTTTTGTGGGAGTGGAAAGGGAGATAAAATGCCCCAATTCCTTTCCATGATCTGTTGCCTGACATGTATTATCCTCTCCCATGGTATTTGGCCTTTTGGAAGAGCTGCACGGGAGGAAAGCACATAGCATGTTGTGAGATTTGGAAGTTCCTATCCAAATGAAATGAGTGTACAGTTGCCAGACATATTTGGATAATCATTTTCGCCTTGGTTTAATTTGCTTACCCAAGTAACACTCCCAGAATCCAGTCGTGTTTTCCGTTTTATTCCCTCTTTCCCAGTCTCATTCTTTAAATCAGAATGTTCTTATAATGCAAACATTTTCCTCAGGTCTGTATGATCAGGTGTGGTTGATTCCATTGATTGATCAGGAAGAATAAAAACTGTAGTGGCGTTAGTGGGGGAGAGTTGTCTCTCAGTTCTTCATGTTTCCACTTCTCTGAAATAGTGACCTGATCATTGTTGTTTGAAGTTAAATTATCTGTTAAATTAGCCCTCAACAATAACCGATGATATTTTCCCTTTGGGTCCAGTTGCCCCTAAATTCTTCCTAGATGGGAAGGAGAGGAATCAAATAGAATGCTTGGTTACATAAAAGTGGGAAGATAATAAAAATCAATATTTATGTGCTGGTAATACTGTTTAAGAGAAATCACTTTCAAAGAAGCTATATTTTATAAATAAATTCTTTTAGAGAACTGTACTTTAGAAGGACCACACTAATTCAAGGATGAATGTAAATAAGCATCTTTGTTGATTAAGAAAAAATGTGAACACTGTATTTTCATTACTCTATAAAACCTAAATGCTCAAACTCATTATATACCGGTGCTTGCTAATCAAAATTAATTCTGTCATCCAGGGATATTCTCAAAAAAGGAAATTTAACTTTAAGCAAAATCTAAAATGTTTTAGATATATGAATTTCTAGAAATCCAAAGTATATTTATTTCTTTGAGTCAGACACTTGTTTGTTTTGCAATCATTATATGAGACAATTTTGGAATAGTGCAGATGCTCCCCGCCACCCACCCCCCTTGTTTCAGATTGCTTGCATATGCAAGCATAGGCATGAGAGCTTCCAGGGTATATAAAGAAAATGACATTTTTCTCGTTTGTTTTAACAAAAGCCCAAAGAATCTTTAAACCCAAAGGTACTACGGGTAGTTCAAAAATCTTTAAACATAATGAGCACTATTGTGTTTTTCTATTAAAAAGAGCTGAATGAATAATTAGAGGCTATGATGAAAGTTGAAAATTTTAAAACAAGAATAAGGTGGTAATTTTATTATTTAATACTTTTATAATTTTTATAATTAGGGATGTAGTTTTAAAGTTGGCAAGCTTTCTTAGAAAAAGTAGTGTACTCCTCCCACCCCATCAAAGGTACTTTAGATTGAATGAAGAATCAGGTAGTTCTGGCAGCAGGGCTTGTTTATTATTTATTCCAGTAGTAGTATTAGTAGATTTAAAAATACACTTTTAATTATACATTTTGAGCTTACTGCGGGTTGGAAGACTAAAATCGATCATTCCTGCATCAATAGTGTTGTCTATTACTGCATTGATTTGTGTTTATTTATGCAGAGGCTTTTGTTTATTTACGTACATATTTCAGCATCTGCTTCTTGATTATTATCACAGGTTGGTTTTAATGAAAGTGTTTATATAGAAAACATACTTGATAAATCAATTTTAAGTAAATGTGATAGTGAGTTATGGTAACCCAAAGAGTTTATGAAATTATTTATTCATATTTGCTTTTTAGCAATTAGGAAACTATTTTTGATTAAAACTTAATGCTTCTTGAAAACTTCCATTCTTCTTTTCACATATTGTATTGATGTGTTTCAATAAATAGAAAATGATAATTTTATGGTGTCAAATATGATAAAATGAAACTGATGAATAAGCCTTTTTGCTTTTTTCTGTTGGCATGACTAGGTTACCCTTATAACAATAAGGTGACCACTGGGTTTACTAATATTGTAGATGAAAAATCAAGGAGCAGCAGGATTTGAATACAGAAATGATGTTATTCTAAAAACACCTAAGTTATGCCAGAGGTACCTATGCTGCACAGGATATCCCAGAGTTCTTCAGTACATATTAAATACATACACTCATCTATTCTATTATTTAGTGTATGTGTACCATTATATCTTATAAAAAGATAGCTATTTCTCTTGAACTCTATATGAGTTTTCTGTATGTAATAGCTCACATATGAATGTTATATATCAGGGCTCATTTAAACAAATATAAGACTAAAGACCACAGGGTGTGTCCTACATGTACAAAGCAATAGTGGAAGAGCAATGCGTTAGAGTTCATGCTTCTCTTATTGTCATTACAAAATGTTGAAAGATGACTTGGAAATTGAAAAAGTAGCTTAATTTATCGAGGGCTATTTATTCCTCGCTTTACTGGGCTTTTCTTCCTGCTTGGAGGATGAATCTTTCTTCGCTAATAGTTTGGAATACATCTACCAAACATGGTTTACAGCCCCATTCTTTATCTCTTGAGCTCTCACACTCCCTCCAGTATTTGTGAGAAATATAAGGAGGAAAATTAACCAAATTCTTCCTTGAGGACCAAAGTGTCTTGGGAGATAGAAAAGGAATCCCTTCACCCTGGCACATTTTCCTGAAATTACTGAACTTCAGCACCCTTACTGAAGCCTCCCGGTCCCAGGGCTGCAGTCAGAAGGTGGCCAAGCCTCAAGCTTTGCAGAGGTTGAATGAAGAAGCAGGGGGAGAGCTTGGAGTTTGTTAATTTGGTTTATTTTTTTCCTATGCCAAGCCCTTGAAGTTAACACAGGAACATAGCTCTTCAGGACCAAGCACTCTTGGCATTCTTTCGAGACTGAAATTCCAGAGCATCTGATAAACAGGACTTATAGCTGGGGTGTGCTCACCCACCCCTCCGTCTTTTTATGCATGCACTAGCTCGTCTTCACGTGCATCTGAGTCGTGGACAGTGTTGACTTGA